TTTGTTTTTGGAAACAGCCGTTCCATTCAACTGTCATTGTGTGAATTAAATTCGACGTCTGAAACCAAGTCGTGCTAATGTCGTGCTGCAGTCGAGCTACAGTCGAGCCAGCTTAGCACGGCAGTAGCACGACGTTTGAAACAGGCCTCACACGATGTTATGGCTGTGGCTACTCCTTGAAGCCAGACGGAACCATACCCGATCCGCCTGGTGACCTTGTGCTAACTACAAGACTTCACCGACAATATTACAAGGCAGGTCAGCAACAAACGTCACCAGATATTTCAAATGTATACTACCATGTCAACCCATTCTGCATCAGGGTGACCTTTCCTTCCTTCGAGCCAAATTTATGCCGAATACCAGCCGATCTCCAACCGTTTCTTCTCCAAGAACACAAACAGATGATCGTACAAAGGCTTGCTGTAAGGTTCTAGTTGGACTGTGGTCTGTTACGATCAAGTCACCATATCATGTCCCGACTATTTGAAAGCATCAGACATTGAAAACTAAGACTTTTTTATTGTTATTGACGACATTGAACTGTAGAATCTGGGATTGTTACTTTACAATATTATATGATACAGATTACAATGACGCTAAATTAGATTATGAATCTTATTTGTAGATTTATTTGTATTGCATACGTTACTGTTAGGAGTTATGATACCTCTTTTTTCAAGGTAACCTTTTTTTATTGTTATTGACGTCGTTGAGCAGTTCAGAGATGTATGTAGCATCTGGGATTGTTCGTTTAGTGAAAAAGTCTCAACTCAGTTTCGTTACAAAACGAAAATTGTCGGCTCGAGTCTCCAAAGTTATGCAGTTTTTATTGCTATTAAACACCTACGATACAATCATGTTCATTTCTAGATACAACTAGTACTTAACAATGTTAATTTTATACATATAACAATGACGATAAATTAGATTATGAATCTTATTTGTAGATTTATTTGTATTGTATACACTAATGTTAAGAGTTATGATACCTCTTATTTTCACTTGAGAAGTTCTTTGAATAGTAGATGATCGTGTTAATAAAGCCAAACTTTTTTTTGCGTTTTACAAGTTCTCGTTTTACAAGTCCGCGTCTTACAAGTCCAGTCCCGTCCAGTCCCGTCCACGAAATACAGTATGCCGAATAAAAAAAGTCCTGAGCTATAAATTGTTCTTGAGTAAGTATTGAAAAATTGTGGCACACATTTGTAACTTGCGCATAGAGGAAAACAGTCTTGATTGAATTAAGGTCAATCAATTTAACAACGGGAACATAATATGTAAAAAAGTAAAAGGTCTCAAACTGAGAACAAAATAATGAACTGGAAACTAAAATAATAATGAAGATATGGCGTTTACATTTTCATAACTAAAGTTAGAACCCCGGCGGATAACTCGAACGCTGAAGGTAAACGACAAAGACTTCGAGTTTAAGCGGGGATTATTCGAGTTATCAGGTAAATTTCAGCGAATTTTGATCAAGGGAAAGCAAATTTAGTTCGAGTTATCGAGGTTCTGCTGTAAGATCTGCCAGAATCAGTTAAAGCTTATTCATGCAGGATACCATCAACCATTTGCAACAACGACTACAGTTATGTCTGCAGTAAACAAAAAGGAACCAATAAATGGTATTTGATTGCATCTTGAAGTTTCCCGTTCGGTATAAGTTAACTTTGATCTCCAGCTTCATTATTTGAGTACACAGTTACCATGAGAAGACACATTACGAAGCAGGAACATACCTTTACCTTCCAAAATTCAGCTGACTTATCGTTCTCGGACATGACTGGAAGCACGTTTCACGTATCAAAAACAAAATAAATGAGCAATCCTCCTTTAAACTAACGTCAGTTTCAGATGAAAAGTACTGGTGCTCTTATCAATGGAAAGTCCACCTGAATTTGAACTGCCCAAACGGAACTTCATTTGAATTCACACTTTTCCATTGGCTCAAAAGGTGCACGTGATGACGGAATTCACTTGGTGAGAGACTGGTAACCAGTATAGCTCAACCAACAAACATTGCGGGTAATCTACTTGGTTATCTAAGTCATACTTTAGTCACACTTTGAATTAATCAAGCTGTCAGTTAATTGTGCTTAAATCGGTTGATAATTGTGTTTTAAAGATTTTGGTCGCAATAAATTGTGTATATAGATGGTGGTAAGTGTCATGGAAACCTTGTTGTTATTTGCACTTAAAGAAATGATTATTAAAATTTTTAAGCTTTTTCATTACATTTGAACACTATCGTTTTCCCCAAAAATAAGCCATTCCCATAGTTAACAATGACTTTAAAATGTTTGGAATTATTGAGAATTCCTAGAAATTCTCATAAATTCTCGTTGGCGTTTTAGCAATTCCCAATAATTCCCAAAAATTCCAAAGACAGTTTCCTTTAAACCTGGAATTATTGGGAATTCCTCGGAATTCCCCAAAATTCCAACTGGTGTATTCACCCATTCCCAAGTATTGCCAGAAATTCCAAGGTTTTTTATCTTTGCTCATTTGCATGTCTGGGAATAAACTGGAATTCCTAGGAATTTCCAGAACTCTGGGAATTCATTTCACAAGGGACCGGGAAGCCGGCTTAAAACATAAATAAGCTTATGCTTACCTGACTAATGATTTTCAGAGACACTTTACTCTCAATACTTGTCTTAGTGAACGAAAATTATTGTCTCTGTACATGTTTTACCGAATTATATTTATTTCATTGATTGTTAGTATTCCCTCTCGCAATTTTTATCGCTGCGCCGGTTGTTTTCATTCGTACATAAACATCGCATGCAGGAGTATAGCTCAAAATGCCGCGCGTAAATATCACTCGCTTTTAAAGATTACACACAAAAAAAAACATAAACAGTTTTATAAATAAAGGGAAATAAAACCTAAACATAACAAGTTCTCTATCGTGTTGACGCGTAAGAAGAACAAATTTTGTCCGAAATCTGCATGATAAAAAAACAGCGCTTCATAGTACACCTCAGAAGTGATGAAAAAAAGAGTATATTTAAAAGGCTGGTATACACGCCAGCAGATTTGTCGCCAAGATTTACTTGTCGAACACAAAAAATCCGGCCTGATTTTTTATTTTGGCCTCCCTTTTAGACAGAGGAATGCAACCTGTATATTGGCTGCCATCGACTATTGTGGACTATTGTGTGTTTCATAGAATTACAGGGTGTCCCAAAAGTTCGTTCCTCTAATTTCATGCGCTATAACTTTTGATCAAAACTTCATTTTTACATGAAATTTCTTACTATATGGAATACTTGTGTTCAGAAGTTCAGGTACCGACATCCCCTCTTTGTTTTTTTATCACACCCTGTAGCCGTTACGGCATTAAGTGAGATAAGCCATGTAGCATGTAGAGCCCTAGATGATTCATTTTGAGCTTTTTTATCACCTAGTATGCAGGAGTCACTTCGACCCCCAAACAATGTAACTTTTTAGATTAGGCAGCTGAAACAATATATTTTGGGCATTGATCCAAGAAAAGGTGATCATTCCGTCCCTTTTCCACAGTAAGGCTTTTGTTTTTCTTCACAAATTTGAGACGAGCTGAACGTTGCAAGGCGGACGGCCCTGGCCGGGAGTAAAGTTTTTTTTTGCTATCTTAGGGGTCTCCAAACTTTGCTTTTCATGAACCTGCTCCAGACTTAACTTGCTAACTGTTGTAAGATCTACCTCGCTGGGTTTCCTGTTTTGTACATGGCCTTTTTAAAACTATTTTCGCAGGACTTTCGGTCTTCCCCTTCGTTTCTTGTCTGTAAAACCTTCATTTCTTTGTGACCATCTTACCACCCAACATTCGGATTTTTCCATTTTTTTTAGGAATTTCTTTAACTGAAAAGCCAGTAGATAGAAATACATGCTTCTGCTCGCACGTAGCTGAGTGTTTTTTTTTTTTGTTGAGGGGGTTTATCTTTCAGGATATTCACACAAAACAAGTTAGGAGTTCGAGCATTTCGGGCTACAAAATGCAAAAAATATATGGCGGGAAAATTTACTCGCGCAGCGCACCTTTGGCGCGAAATTACACAAATCGAATTTCGAGTCAAAAGATGGAACAAGAAGTATGAAATATTAAGTTAGATTGAAAGTCACAACTTTGGCTTAAATTATGTGTTGATCAAGTCCAATCGTACTGTATTACAGACTTATAAAGGAGAGGAACGAACTTTTGGGACACCCTGTATATTTCGGGGCTGTCCAATTATCCATAGTCTCTCTAACGGAGTGTTGGAGAGACTATGAATTAACCTTAATAAAATAAGGTGATAGGCGACTGGGTTATTTCGTTTGGGAAGAATTTGTTTTCCAGGCCTAATCGACTATGATCGAACATGATTGCTATGTTTGGGTGTACATATGAGACTATTAACTCGATGTAAAATTTGTTTCACCCTTGGACTGTCAAATTATTTTTCTCTGAAATCGCTTAGCCTTTGTCTCAAAATTCACATGAATGTATCCAAACGTTAACTGATTTGTGGATTACAAGTTTATTGTTTGATTTAAATTATAAATTTAATAACGAGAGCTTCGCTTTTAGCCCTGGCTAAATCTATACATTAATTTTTTTCTTTTGTTTAGTATAAATTTCTGAATTTGGATAGGTTGAAGCTTAATCGTTATATTTTTTGTTTTTAAGTAAAGTTTATAATTGGACGCTAAATCTCTCTATTACAAACTAGTTAGCTTAATGAAGCCGGACCTTTTTCAAAAACACTACTCTGCAAATAATAATAACAAAAAATACTAAATTAAGCCACTACACATTTACTAAATCTTGAGGATGAAGTCGATTTTGAATCGGGGTGGCTCACTCCCTGTGTCCTTTCTTGTTCAGCTTTCGGTTTCTCCTCTATTTCCCCTGTGGTACACGAATTGGGTGGCCTTAGTGTTTCGCTAGATTGGAGATGAGCACCTGGAACAAAAGTGACACCTGCTGCATTTTCTGTTTCCTGCGCAGGACCCATTACAAACTTAAGATGTTGTTCCGCTTCCTCCATTAAGCGTTTCAGTCTAATAACATCCTCTTTATCAGCTTTAACCACACTAATATCAGCTCCTAGATCCACAAGCTTTTTCACAGCTTGGGCGTTTTCATATCTCACTGCCAGTTGAAGAGGAGTCCTGCCTTCTGCATCACATATGTCTATATTTTGCAACCCATACTTCACCAGGAGATCAATTATCTTGCTGTTATTTCCACGAGCTAATAAGTGAAGCGGTGCATATCCATCATTGTCTTGAATATTTACGTCCGCTTTGTGCTCAAGTAACAATCTGGTGAGGTTGTTGTGAATCCTTTTGATTGACCCGTAAAGTGGTGTATATCCACTCTTATCTTGTATATTTACATCCGCACTGTGTTGAAGTAACAACCTGACGATGGTTTCGTCATTCCTTGCGACTGACACGTGCAGTGGTGTACATCCGTCATTATCTTGTATATTTACATCCGCGTTGTGTTCAAGAAATAATCTGACGAGGTCTATGTTACCCATTATGACACACCAATGTAAGAGTGCATATCCACTTTCATCTTGCATATTTACATGATCCTCGTTGTGCTCTAGAAACAGTCTCAGGAGGCTCTCGTTACCCTTTTTGATACACCAACGCAAGAGTGCATATCTACAAGTATTTACATTCGCGTTGTGCTCTAGAAACAATCTGACGAGGTTTTCGTTTCCCTCTATGACACACCAATGCAAGGGTGCATACCCACTTTTATCTTGTATATTTACATCCGCGTTGTGCTCTAGAAACAATCTGACGAAGTTTTCGTTCCCCTTCCTGACACACCAATGCAAGGGTGCATACCCACTTTTATCTTGTATATTTACATTCGCGTTGTGCTCAAGAAACAATCTGGCGAGGTTTACGTTACCCTCCATGACACAACAGTGCAAGGGTGCATATCCACTTTTATCTTGTATATTTACATCCGCGTTGTGAAGTTCTTTGTTAGACTCCTCCAAAAGCAAAGGGAGATACTGTGTGGTTACGAAGGGTGCATATCCACTTTTATCTTGTATATTTACATCCGCGTTGTGCTCTAGAAACAATCTGACGAGGTTTTCGTTCCCCTTCCTGACACACCAATGCAAGGGTGCATACCCACTTTTGTCTTGTATATTTACATCCGCGTTGTGATCAAGAAACAATCTGGCGAGGTTTACGTTACCCTCTATGACACAACAGTGCAAGGGTGCAAATCCACTTTTGTCTTGTATATTTACATCCACTTTGTTTGCAAGTAATAATTTGATGAAATTTTCGTGATCCTTTCTGATTGAAAAATGCAGTGGGGTGAACCCAGAACCATCCTGGACATTTACATCAGCTCCATGCCTTAAAAGTAAGCACAATGCCATGTAGTTGTTGCAATCAGCCGCTAATGTTAATGGTGCTTTTTTACTCTCTTTTCTCTGGGCACTAACGTCGGCACCAAGATCAATAAGGGTCTCAATGAACTGACTGGAGGATGACCGACTTGCATGCAACAATGCTGTGTAATCATTGTCTGTCCCTTGAGAATTAATATCTACTCCGTCATTCAATACAAGCTCAACCGCCAGTTCCGCATCATTACTGCATGTAGCCAACTGCAGCTTGGTCAGTCTTAAGTTTTCCTTGGCCCGCTGATTATAAAGGCTTTTGATACGATGATAACGATTTGTAGTTCTCCTAAGACGATAAGATGATAAGATTTCAACTGCAGTTTTCCCTGGAAAAACTTTGGCATTATTTCCCGTTTTCACAATTTCCATCTCTTCTACAAAGTTATCAAGTAGGCCGTGAGCTTTTAAAACAATGTCATTGTCTCCCTCGAAGACAGCCGCCTGGAGCAGATTAAATCCAGATTCTTGATCCACTTGCAAGAAGGCTTTTCCCGAGAGTTTCCTTAGACTGACCTATAATAATAATGATCATTTTCATGAGCGACAAAAATATTGAATTCGTTAGACACATTTTATAGTACCTTTTTGGCAGATAATAGATAAACGGGGTTCCCCGGCCCTGTATTGCAAATGGACACATTTTGATTTTAATTTAATTTTAATTTAGGCCATTTTCACTGCATATAAGTCATTATAATCAGACACGAGGAGGGCAGCGGAGAAGGACTAGTAGGGAACAGAGGAACCCTATGAGCCAGTCCAACCAATTTTAAAATAACGTAAAATGTAGAAAAAAAAAGAAGAAGAGGAATAAAAAAGAAATTGTCAAAAAGTAACACATGGAAACTGATAATTATGATAAGAGACTACACTAAGGATCAAAGTCCCTTATAATCTTATTCTTGTAAAAATTTCTGCAACGTTTCTTGAAGGACGACAGGCTGAGATCTCCATGAATAAAGAATTCTGTTAAAAAGTTCCCTTGAACTGTTCGGTTGTTACTGAATTTAAAATAAGTTTATTACTCGAAAAGGATCTTAGTCTCTTATCAGAGCAGAACTGAAAATAGCGGGGGTCTAACGAGCAATGTGGGTAGATATTGGTCGCTTACTCTGATGGTACAACTAATGAATACTAGCATCTCGTTGGCTTTGTTAACCTGAGCATAGATGTTGAACGACCGTCACAAACAAACAACAACAACAACAACAAAATATTGAGCCTAAATACAGTTACCCTGTAAATTAGCAAAGAACGCTATTCGAAGCAGGGAAAAGTAATCGTATTTTAAAATAATGAAAATTGGTCAACATAACAATACAGAAGCTGATCTGTAGAGTTTTATACAATGATGTAAATGCTACGCGCGCTCTAGTTGGTCGTTGCCCATGATCTATTGGAGTACAGATACATGGATGACGTCACGGGAAACTTGTTTTCTTTGTTTTGTTCATCATGAAGCGCGGTTTTGAAAATGTTTGTGAGATTATTTCGATGAAAGACAGTGAAAGCCTCGAAAAAAACTTAGCAAGAGCTATTTACAAAGAAGAAAAATGGAGAAAAGAGAGAAAAAGAGCTCTTTACAACTTAAGAATGTCTAAACTACAAGAAATCTTCACAACAGTTGTCATCGTGTGTCACTGCTACGAGAGACTCGCTGTTTTGCAAAATGTTTCGCCATTATTCTGCTTTGAGCAAGAAAAGACGTTGAAAAACTTTCCGAAGAAACTGTATACAAGTAAGATAAGGAAAAAAAGAAGAAGCAGAGACGAAATATAGCGTTTGGGACTTAAAAAATGCCTAAACTAGCACAGATCTCCGAACAGACAAGCGGTACGAGGCAGGTATGTGTATCGGTTTGTTTTTCTTTTCTGATCATTGTATAAAACAAATAGATTCCATGTTGCCGTGGGTCTGTTCAGTAATAGATTACAGAGGATGTCAAAATGTGGTAAAAACATCAGTGACACACTCGCCTGCGGCTCGTGTGCCACTTTTGACGTCATTTGTGATCTATTACTGAACAGACGCACGGCAACGTGGAATCTATTTGTTAAACAGATATTATTTTAAAGCTTAATGTTGAATGATATCGGTGGCAGACAAGGAAATAAATGACATACACGAGATATTAGAACTTTTTCATTTGCTTGATATCACTAAGTATTTGGGGAACATCAGTATAGTCATCTGTTTTCTTAAGAATCCCCAGGACAGTTTGTTTGATTTTGGATTTGAATTGAGATTTCCTCAACGACTTAAGAGATTTAGGTAGACCCTTCCATATCAGAGCACCAGTGTTCGCTAATGATTTTTTCATTTTTTCCGTTCGAGAGTACTCAACATAAATAGTACAGTATAGTACAGTATCTATTAAATCTCCACGATCTGGCTCTTCCGATTTAATTAACAAATTTGGAAAAGGAAAGGAAAAAAGACTAATTTACAAATCTAATTATTAATAATAAATGGAAAAAATACATACTACATGCATATACTTATTACTGACTTCCAAATACTCTTATGACATATAAAAAATCAATTACTTGTTTGTATGGACCTTAGCACCTTAGCCCAAAGCACATATACCATAGCTTAAGTAAAGCGAAATTAGGGACCGAAAAATAATCAATAGAGTTTGACGAGGAACAAAATGTCTTAATTTTGCAATAACACCAAGGCATTTACTGATTTTTCCGGATATGTGCTCGATTTGGTGTTTCCAGGAAAGATCAGCGTCAATATAAACTCCTAGGTATTTAACACATTGCCGTTTCATCTCGAGAGGTTTGTGTGGATTCATATCATGACAAGAACACTTATGCGAGGAATAAATAGTAAGCATTTTTGACGCGGTCGAGAAATTACAAAGCTTGATTTCTTAATGTTAAGTGATAGTTTATTGGCCTTCAGCCAGTCATAAAGATTTCCAAGTTCAGTGTTAAATTTGTTTTCGAGTTCGTGTAAGTTTTTATTAGCATACAACATGCTAGTTTCATCGGCAAACAAAAAAAAGTTGAACACATTGTTTGATTCGTGGATATCATTAATGCACAAAGGAAATAAAAGTGGTCCAAGTACTGAACCATGGGGTACCCACAGAGTGTTAGTTCTTGGTCTGATATAGAGTCATTAGCAAGAGAAATGTGCGAATTAAAAACGGATTTTAAGAAATCTTTGTTGTTGTTGTTCTTATCTATTAAGTAATGATGATAATGATGACATAATTTAATAGAGGCCAGGTCTGAAAACGGGTGTAAAAAATGACAAGCTATGGGCTATATGGGCTTTCCATCCTGAACACCCTACGCATGAGCGAATTTAGGGGTTAGCCGAATGGACCGCGAGCACCCCTTTTTCTGTGAAATTTTATGTTATTTTTAAAAGAATTCTCAGTAAAATAAATACAGTGAAACCTCTATTAACCGGACACCTTCGGGACCTTCCCAAGTGTCCGCTTAATAGAGGGTGTCCGCTTAATTGGGGGTCCGCTTAATAGAGGTTTCAATGTAGTATCTATATATGGGCAAGTGTCGCCCCCCCCCCCCCCTTCTAAATTTCCGCCCCTACTATTAAAGTGAGACCAAATTAAATGAAAAATGAAAATAATAATAATAGTAATAATAATAATAATAATAATAATAACTAAATAAATAAATGTATATCCCTTGAAAGTTGAGACTTAAACAATCCCTTAAAGTTAGGCTGACTATATTCATTTCTTCTTTTTTTCAAACTCTCTCCTCTCGCCAAGCGTAGCGTATTTATTTGTCTTATTTATTTATTTATTTATCTATCTTATATATTTATCTTATACATTTATTTATTTATTTTTATTCATTTCTTTATTATTTTCCGCCGTCCGCATCCGCCGTCCGTTTCCTCATTTTACAGACACCCGACGAAATGTTCGGTACTGTTATTTTTCTGCTTTATGCATCGATACCGATTATGAAACCATAGAGGGATGAAACTGATCTAGTGTTGTCTGTCTTGTTGTATATCTTACTTTTTTAACACCTTTGGATGAATTTTCTTTAAACAAGGTTTTTCTTTTGTCCTTTTATTTCAGATGTGGCTAGTGGTTTTACTCGGAGCTGGAATATTTACACTGTACAATGACATGTGTATGTTATATTATCTGTCCTTTGCTGTGGTAACACGAAGAAAGCGAAACGACACGTCGTGTAAGATAACATTAATTTAAAACTATTTGCTTCAGTCAGTAATTAGTCTTCGAAAATCGCTTGTATTGAAACTACAACTCTGTATTTCTCACCTCCTGACCCGTTTTTTAAAATTCAATCCTCCGTTCAGTATGGCGATGTAATTGATATGTAACGCAACGTAATTTAGTATCCTTACCCAGAGCTTCCTCAAACGTTAACCCTCGGCAAACCGTCCTTTTTGTTTGTAACCTTTGCCCTAATCCAATCCTAAGCCTTGGCTCAACAATCCATAATCTGACCTTCAGCTTACCCATATTCACAGCTAAACTTTAGCTATCCACCCTAACCACCTTAGCGTAACATCCTTTTCCTGACAAGTCTAGCGTTTAACTCAGTGGATCAAGTCATGTGTTATGACTATTGAAATCAGTTGAGACTGCACGTCTAACCCTAACTCTATCCCTAGTAACCTATCTAACTCTATCGCTAACTCTTCCTCCCCTGCTCTTACATTTACTAGTATACAGTAAAAACTAAGTAGCAGGTTTTTTTCAAAGTGAGCCTTACCAGGCTCTTATAAAATGTTTTTCTTGGAAACTAGGCTGTTTCGGTTCTCAAATTAGGTTCTTATTTTGTTTGGGGAAAAAAGATTTTTTTGGAAGAATATTGGTAGTATTTAATGTTTGTACAAAATATGCATGTTGTCATGTCTAAATAACTGCAATTTAAGAAAATAGAAACTCTTAAGTTTGCCATTAAAATGATTTGACTGAAGAATCTGTTTCAACATTTCTACTTCATCAGGTTCTTTCTGTGGCCCTTCGCTGTATTACAAACCTGACATGATAACAAGTGTCACATGCATGTTTCACTGTTTTTTTTAGATAAAATAAAATATTGGTTTGGATTGTGTTTGTTGTAATGGGTGAAATTAGAAACTTAGTGAAAATTTTAACTATACCCTGAAAATTAAAAAGATCCGTTTTTATTATATACATACTGAGAAATACTCACCAAAACGTTGTTTTGTAAATTTTGATACGCAAATGAGTTCTAGCCAATCAGAGGAGTGAACTATGGTTTTCACACGTGAGAAAAATAATACGTCCAATCAGAAGCCACAGAGGTGTGTGAGTTTCGCGCCAAAATTCCCGTCTTTTCTTGCAGCTTGCTGAGCGCCGCTTCGCGCACATTCGAGGAGAAAAGTTTTTCTCAAAGAGTTTTTTGTCGTTAAAAAAGTGAAAAACATGTCAGAAATGGAGTGGAATAGTTTCGTTTGTTTCACTGTCGATTTTCTTTTGACACCTCTCGGCCGCTTTGTTGTCGCCTTCCCCTTTTTGTCTTGTTCTGCATTCGAATATAACACGAAAAACAGCCTCGAACTTTGTCTTCCATTTATAAGCTTAAGCTTATATTGAAACCGGCCATTTTACTTAAATGACTCATTTTCAATTGTACATTCAGAACAAACAGTTAAGATTACGTGTAGTTCTTGGATTACCTCATATCCTTACCGTCATTTATGTTTTTAAGAAACGTTTCTACTAAAAAGCTGATACTTCGTTTTCATTGTTATTTCTTGGTGTGTAGCGGCAAATTTAAGCATTTTGGAAAGATTTAAAATAAAAAGGCCACCAAAATGATGAATGTCTCAGTATGTATACAATAAACACAATGCCACATGTAAAGTGCTTCGTACGGTATTTACCCACTCGTTGTTTTTGTATCAGAAATCTCACTCGTTCGATTTCTGATACAAAAACAACTCATGTGTAAATACCGTACGCTAGCACTTTCCATGAAGTATTCTCTATCAGTCCCATAGTGTCAATTCAGCCCTGCAGGCCTAAGTCTGATTCAGCCCTTCCTGGAGCCATTTGAGCACGATTTAGGCCAAAAAACTCAATCAGAAGGTTATTCCAGCCCACGTTAGGGCCTATTTCAGCCCTTGAGACCAAATCTGCTCTAGCTAATTGGACTGTATTTCACTCAACAAAACGGCCCTACTTTTTTGGCTAAAGCAAATCTTTCTCATGTACAATGTAGATAATTATTAGATAAGCTTTGTACCTGAATGGAACGGTCATTTAGAAATTTCTAGTCGTCCTCAAGTAAAGAAAATTTTAGGCAATTGACACCATAAAATACTATAATACTCTTTGTTGGTCACTCCAAAGTTTTGCATAAGCATTGTTTTCAGTTTCTCTTGGGAGTCAAGTAATGCTTATGCAAAATTTTGGAGTGACCAACAAAGAGTGTTATAGTATGTTATGATATTTTCTGTGGTGGTCATTATTTGCTTCTCCGAACAGATAATTCACAGAAAACACTCGTTGGGTGCCCTTGCGGTGGGGGTACGGATTTACTTTAAAGTCTAATAGTTACAGTTGAGATGCACTTTCCAAAGAATTGTGTTTGAAACTTAATTTAACTTAATGTTTGATAACGATGTGTGATGCATCGAAACGTCGAGTAACGTTTTTAAGTTTAATTTTTCTTGTTAAATGCTTCAGCAGGCAACTTACTATCGAATAGTGTAGCCTTCTTCCCACCCATGTGGTTGCAACATATTCGCCATTGTGTCCATAACCATTTTATAAAGAGCGCATGTGTATAAGACGAAACGCCAGAACCATAGACATTAAAAACTAAGAAATAAAATATACGATGAAACCGGTATTAACCGGACACTACACGACCTTTGCTGGTGTCCACTGTTAATGGGTTTGGTTTAGAGTAAGCTCACAGTAGATTCACTATACTGTGATCTCCGGATGGGCGTAACCGAGGGAATAAAAATAATGTTCGTGTAGAGAAGAAGAAATATAAGGTCTTCGCGATATAAGCTACGATTAAAGCTCATACGATAGGTCCTACAGTAACGTTCCACATTAGCAAGAAAGATACAAAAAATGCAAGCGAATTTCTACTGAAAGACAAGGTTGGCAAGAAGGACATACAATCTGATATCTTACTGGTTGATGAAGACTTGGCCTGGCACCATTCTTCCGCACCAACTGCACTATGGAGTGGTGGTTTTGACGTTCAGCTTTTTGCAGAGGTGTACGTTGAAACTAAAAACATCACAAGTAGGGTGATACGTATTACTTACCACTTGCTATTTACCAAGAAGAATATTCTAACTACTGGTACCGTGAATGACCTAATAAACGCCCCCTCTACGCTGTTAAATTTGCATTAGACGCCCTCTCTAAATAAAGCCTCCTGTCTAATAGACGCCCCCTATAAGAATGACTCCAAATACTAGGAATTAGCAAGAAGGTGCAAAATCATTCAAATTATTCAGTTTCTTTCTTGATTAACGAGGCTTTGCCTATTTCGTCTTGTTCAATGTCAAGTGAGAAGTAAGGATAGCCTAAGCATGGCAACACAATAACCCTGAGCTCTGACATCGATGTTGGCCGGATTTAAAAGAGCGATATGGATCTCTAGACCGCCTAGGATCATCAATTGATAGATATCGATAGGTGCGATTTGAAAGAGAGATACATAATCTCTAGACGGCCCAAACTTATCAATTTATCGATGGAGTGGATATTGAATTCCTTTTTAACTCTTGATTTTTTCGCCGAAAGCACATTAGTTTTGTTGAGCTTGTTAGAGTTATGAGAATAACGACTCTCTACTAAAAACGCCTCCTATCTATTAAACGCCCCCGCTTGGACCCCTAAAATTAAAAAGGCGCCCCGGGCGTTTATTGAGTCATTTACGGTATGTCTACATAGGGTAGCCACCAACACAAGGAAACCTGTATTAAGATGGCTGGAACCAGTCTTTTTGCAGCTTCACCTTCCATCTTTGAGTCTCTCGTACTTAAATTGATCCTCATTGTAAAACCATTTTATTATTCATTCAAAATATTTCCCCAATTCTGATTGGCTAAAAGCACACGCATAATTCACCATAACCAGTTACTGATGACCAAATTTGGAAGAATTTTGTGTTTAACGAGGAAATGGCGTCAAAAATGCAGCCCGCTACAGGTTAAGGCGCCGTTACCGAGAAGACCTGGGCAGGAGGTTGAGTTGTTTTTGTTGTGACAAAAAAATGGCTCGTTTCAAGAGTAAGAACTACAGCTGGAACTAGGCGAAATAATAGCTAAAAACATGGCAAAAACAGCAAGAATTGGAGAATATTTGGAGAATATTTGGAGAATATATTTGGAGAATATTTGCGGAGCTGGACAAACCTAAACGTACACTATCGAAGATACACTTAACATCGATGCAGGTAACCACGTTTTAGCTATGTTTTTAAACTAGGAATTATTTTAAATGAATAATAAAGCAATTAATGCATTCGGCCTTCGTAGGATATGAAGAATTAAGCAGATCTCGGAGGCTGTTATACACCTCGGCCGTCGGCCTCGGTAGAGAACACCCTCCTCGATCTGCTTAATTCTTCATATCCTACTCAGCTCGTTCATTAATCGTAAATAACATTAGCCTGGGACCAGGCTCTGTAGTGGGAGAAAAAGGCAAAAAACGGAATGAAACACCCCGCACTTCGGAGTCTGGTCCCAGGCTATTATAACATATGTATTAGACATAAACTAAACTTTATTATGATATTATTTTTGGGCGATGGGAATAAATATCAAGTGGCAGTGACATCACAATAGTTTTAGCTACAAATCGGTTTTCAGCCCTTACCACCACTTTTTTTAGAAAACGGCTAGTCTTCTCGGATAAGGACGATAAATTGGAAGCTTCGTCTCACATGCTAAATTCTATACGACGTTAAATGACTCAGAGTGAGGGAAGTAGTCCCCGGTGTGGTGGTCTATCTCTAATTCACAATCACTTTAGGGGGTATTCATAGCTAATTGCTTCTCTTAAATACTTGCAAACTCCTGCACCAAAAGCAGTCTGGCAAAAGTACCACGACCATTGAAGGAAGTATATTTAACAATTATTCCTCGTGCCCGATGACTCAGAGGCCATGAGGGCGAGAGGAATAATTGTTTTAGTAAAATCCAACTAGTTGGTCAAAAATATCGAGAATAAAAAAAGTTTAGCTAGTTAAAGCTAGCCTTTAATCCTTTTTTGCCACCAAAAAGCCCACGCTTTTCGCTACTAGTGGGCTATAACATATAGCCTAGTAGTAGCTCAACCAATCAGAACGCAGCATTGATAATAGACCACTAGTCGGATTTTACTAAAAAGAGATATTCCCAAAATATAGGTCCCGTGGTGGTCCGCTAATTGTAGTAAATTACGTTGATTGTAGACGTTCATTTTTTCACGGCATTATATTGTTTGATTTATACAACATTTATTAACTCACCTTGTCTTCAGCGTTGAAGTTCGCACCATGTTTTAACAAAAGCTTAACAACAGACTCCTGTCCATACCAACAGGCAAGATGAAGAGGGGTCAGAAAAAACTACCAGAAAAGGAAAAAACAACGCAGTTAGGTCACGTTGAAAGAAGCCAGCTAGTCCCGCTAATAACAATGGTCTTGAAATAGTGGACTAATTTTTACGACCAAGCTAAGAATAAAGCCAAAGCGTCTTTTCTTTGTCCTCTTTAGTTTATTCTGAAGCAATCCAAGTGGAACACTCTAAATGAAACCAAATGCAATGTTGGAGGTCACATTTTAGTAGGAGACCAATTCTTTTATTAAATTCAGAGACCTGATTCTTTTGCATGGGGAAAACACGGTCCAGAACATCCTCAGGTTACTATCGTAAAAAAGTAAACAACAACAACAAACAAACAAACAAAAATTCGACCACTAAATAAATAAAACCATTTTTATTCTCTGCAGTGCTTAGCCTCAGACTTAAACATTTCATGTTGGGAACGTAATTGGTTCTAGCAACATTTCTCCCATAACTTCACAGTTTACGATGATCTGAGTAATTGTCGTCTTAGATAGCACTGTTGGTAATAATATTGCAACAACCTTTAAGGAAGTCTTCTTCCCACGTGAAAGCAATCAGAAGAGTTTTTTGACTTTGATGACGACTACCACAGAGAATGTCGGAACGTCCTTTCGTGTCAACAACAGTCCTATTCAAGTACTATTTGACGGAGTCGGAGTCGAAATCATAAAAGTGGAGTCGCAACAGCGACGGAATCGGAGTCGGAAGAATCAGAAAGTTTCCATTTTCTTCCAATTCCGCTTCTGACTCTGTCGCTTACGATCAAGTGAAAACCAGACTGTCGGAGTCGGAAGTAGAAGAGGAACGATAAACCAATCACAATGCACGTTCTCACGCTTTGTGATTGGCTTTGTTCTTCCACTTCTGTTTGAGACTCCTACGACTTAGTTTTCACTTGATCGTAAGCGACGGAGTCGTAAACGGAATCAAAACGCTGTTTACACTAGATCGTCAAGTTCTACGCTTCTGATTAGGACTCCGTCGCTAATAAAAACCACCCTTTAAGGAAACACTCGCGCAAGATCTCATTTCATTATCTCATTCTTTAACCAAACTTTTGGGTAAAAATCCATTTACAACATCGTGAGCTATAATATAACGCTGTGGTGTTACATACATAGTAAATAAAACTAAATCTGTGTATCCTGAAACAATCGGCAAGTACGGGTTTAAAAAAGAATTGTGAATTTTCCCGCCATGTTATCCGTCTTAATGATGGTGTCTGCCATCACCGACCAATCAGGATGAATTCGTTCACAAACGCAAGGTATGCAATAAGACTTTTATACAAAATCTTGCTTCTTATACCCTGCCAGCTCGAAAGCTGGCGCAAAACCTCAACACAAGCACCTAATTGTAGTCTACAAACCTGATCTCTTAGATCCACATCTTCTCCACTTTCAAGAAGCGTTTTGACCGTTTTGTATTGTCCACTGATAGCAGCCTTGTGTAGAGGGCCTCTCGACGCCTAGTTTAAAAAATATCCTTTTATGTAAATGTAAAGAGATTACAAAATCCTGTAGATGAAAGCCAAACTCATTAGTCTGCAAACTTTGCACTCTGTTATAAAACGTTATCCAGCATTTGATTTTAATCCCTCTTCGCTCCCATATTAAACTTTACTAACTATAGTTGTATAAATACTGCAGATAATAACTCAGAACTGAGCAAATGTCCTCCAGGGCTCACTGTAAAAGGGCTCGCAATTGTGTACAGTTAACGATGTTGCAACTCATAATAAGGCTACGCTCTGCTGAGTTTGATTTTGGTGCAACTCGTTAACAACATGGCACTTAATTTCTTGCACCAAGTGACGTTTTTCATTCTTTTTTTTGCTTTGTTTGAATACACAACGAGCGCACACTACACTATGTATCTTAACGATCTTCCTGCTGAACTTACTTTAGCCTTCTCAGCTCTGGCCATAGGTGACAGAGCCTGCTTCTTGTCCTAGGATAATAATAAATAAATAAAAGGATAAATAGATAAACAAATTAATAAATAAAAATTAATTTATTGTGCCACTACTGGTATTTGTTTGGTATGAAGCTTCCATCCAATTTAGAGCTAACGAGCAACTCTCCCTATTCACCATTTTGTTTCAAGTACCATCTAACACGGCACCTCTTCAGGTTACTATTATGAAATACAAGGTCCAAAACCAAAAATTCCTTGATAAAAATTGGCTGCCTTGTTACATTCCTGCTTGATTATATCGCCAGTTTCACCACTCCCCAAAGAAAATATACTTGTATTCTTTAACGCTACGCTCAGCCGAATAGAAAACAAGAGACAAAACAACAGAATGATGAATACAGTCAACTCTCTCTTAACGGACACATCTATAAGACGGACACCTCTGTAAAACGGACACCTAGAGTTGGTCCCTGCCTTTCTTTGCTCCCTCTATTAAGACGGACATCTCTCTAAGACGGACAGCTAGTGCCGGTCCCAAAGGTGTCCGTCTTAGAGAGAGTTGACTGTATAGGCCATTATAGGGAGTCACCCCCGGGGGTTATAAGTATGAATTGACAAAACAACACAGTGATGAATGGAGGGAACCGCCAGCAATCTAGTTCGTTACACCAATAGGGCTAGAGTAACAAAAAAATCACCAAAATATAAGGGATATATGCAAAAAATAGGATACAAAGCACTAAGAAAAGCCAGATTTAAGACACATCATAAGCGCTAACAAGATATGCTGAGCAAAAAAAAAATAGCAAAGTAAACGGAGTCAGATTATTTTAGAAAAGGGATGCAAACGTAATAGTACAAATTAAACGTAGGTATACTTATAAACCTCATACATAAGAAACCGAAAAAAGCAGCCACGAGAAAACTGGTAGGCGTCAAGTGGTGCGGAATTCACAAGGAGTGGCTTATAAACGGTCTATTGATCAAAATGGGAAAAAATGCACCTTATTTGAGTGTCAATGCATTTAGCACGAAAGTACCAATTGGGGACACTATTTTTATGTCTCCTACTGGAGACGGGACCGCCATTTTACATGGTCATCCGAGGTCCAGCAAGAGAGAGGTCCAGGGAAAAGGCAGTACCTTCATTTCTCAGACATTTTAAGACACTGAGTGTTGGTCCGGTCCCGGGATTCAAACCCGCGACCTCCCGCTCTACAGTCAGGCGCTGGTATTTGTTTGGTACAAAACTTCCACCCAACATCGAGCTAACAAGCCGCTATGGGAGCGTACACTTCGTCGTCGTGGTTGTGGATTAATCGTGAATGCGGAGGATTAGTGAGAAATTAGATTTTTCAGGATACCCTTCCTTACAAGTACCCTTACTTTTCTCCTTTTGTGTAACAGACGTCCTTTAAAACTCTACACCTTCTCCGACAACGTAACTAGCTAACATCAGTACACTCCCTTAAAAAAACTTGCTGAAAATGCACAATCTGGATTTAGAAAAAAAAAAAACGGCAGTACAGCCTGTTATCCTTCCTTCGGGCCGTAGCGCAGAACAGAAACTTTGATCTATCGGCAAGGAATTTAACCGGCAAACCAATAAATTTGGGTTTTCCATGGTGTAAAACGATTTCCAAGCAAGAAAAAAAAAAACGAAAGAGCGGCCACGAGTAAACTGGTCGGTGTTAAGTGCTGTGAAATTTACAGGAGTGGGTTGTAAAGAGTCTAATGATCCTCATGGGAACTGAACTAAACAACATAATCAACAACTAAAGAAATACATTTGAGCTTACTTCACTCCTCCTTGTATCCTCTTCCTGATCTGAATCAACTGTTTGAGATGAAGTTTCGGAGATACTTGCTACTCCTAGTAATCAAAACAGTAGTGTCACCAGCAACAAGATACCAATTATAATGGCCTGTAAAACTTGTTTTAAGCGGGCACCCTCGGGGAAAGTTTTAGTGGTTGGAATTACGTACTACAGGCGGAATGTTTATCATGAAGGTTATCTCTCTTCAGCAATGCAGTGTAACGGTACCATCGTTTAAAAGACCTACTGTTGTGTAGCTTTTGCAGTAAAATTAAACAGTTTACAACCGCAAATTTTCTAGTGTTCAATTTGAAAGTTAAGAACAAGAAAAAGAAAAAGAAATTTTTGTGTTGTGTTCACTTACTCTATAAAGCGGGCGCGTGAAATTAGGAAGTTTCGTGTCGCAGTCGTGAAACGACGGCTAAGAAATCTTATTCAAAGTAGAAAGACTGCAAATCATCTTAGTCGCTAAGAAATATATATCTACGCGTCGCAACTGTTCATCAGTAGGATGCCTAAAATGCGTGCAATGCCACAATTGGTTTCGACTCCATTAAATCCTATACCAATTGCAGAACATTTTAGGAGGAGCCACCCACCCTATTGGACAGCGTGGCATGAGGCACGTGCAGCGTTGTTGTTCTGCTGCTGCTTGTTCGCCGTTGTTATTGCCTTCGCCGTCGGTTAAACTCCCTAATAAATGTGATCCAGAAATTCTGTTACTATGGTAACGTGACGTCACACTTCTCCTCTCTTTTAGCATAAGGAATAAATCTGCTGAAATCCAATGTTGGCAGTTTTTGTTTATTTCAACAAAACGGCTCTTTCTAGTCATCCTTTACGTTTTACCTTAGGTTTCCGCTTTAAAATCCGTAGAATCTATTCAACAAAATACGGAACAAATTACAACAATTTGTATTTCTCCCACAAAAACCTTTCCCACTATTTACATCCGGGGACTTTTATGTAAAACGGTTAATCGATACGTGCGAACTTAACTTCCTAACTCTTTACTTAAACTGAAAATAAAAATAATACTGAACACTTTACTTTGAAATTTCTACTTTCTGCTCAGTAGAACAGAAAGGAAAGGGCTGTACATAGGAAGAAACTAGGCCATTTCGCCTGTGAGCCTCATAAGATGTGCAGCTCAGTCAGATGAAACAGGAACAAGAACATAAGTGACAAAGAAGAAGCATTCTACACAGCAATCCTAATCCATTTAACTTACATGTAGGAGGTGCATTCGTCAATAGCTAATGTTGTTGACCTCCATTAGTCTCCGAATGCCCCCTTTATCATTTCATGATTTGTACAGGTTATCACATGATTTCGAGTGCAATTTGAAATAAATAAGCACGAGTAAATTTTTCAAAGACCAACAAAAGTGCACGAGCCCGTAAGGCGAGTGTACTTTGTGGTCTTTGAAAAATTTACAAGTGCTTATTTAATCCAAATTACACGAGAAAAATCATGTGATTACCTATACTAATAATATACACGAAAAACATAACTACAACAACGAATTTTGACAGCGCGCGCGTTTTTAGTTCATTCAACAGATTGGCTGAAACAGACTACTACCTTTGTCAAATTCAAACTTTTTCAAGACCAACGCTTTCAAAATCATTCAGCTAAGAACTTGGAAATGTGCAAGGGTTGATTTTATATGGTCACCAGCCTGTTAAAGATAACTTGGTTTACAATAATCAGCAAAAGTAAGTGTTTTTAAATTCATCCTCGATTATGAGAGCTCGGCGTTTACAAGAAGCGTTTACAAGAAGTATACTGCCGTTTTGAAATCAGGAGAACGCTTCGCGCAGCCAAANTTGTCAAATTCAAACTTTTTCAAGACCAACGCTTTCAAAATCATTCAGCTAAGAACTTGGAAATGTGCAAGGGTTGATTTTATATGGTCACCAGCCTGTTAAAGATAACTTGGTTTACAATAATCAGCAAAAGTAAGTGTTTTTAAATTCATCCTCGATTATGAGAGCTCGGCGTTTACAAGAAGCGTTTACAAGAAGTATACTGCCGTTTTGAAATCAGGAGAACGCTTCGCGCAGCCAAAGATGAAAGACAATTGCTAAGGTTTTTTAACGACTGTTCATCATTGTCTGTTCCTGAGACCCCATCATAGCTGAATTCATGGAGAAATTTTTGAGATTTAAAACCCGAAAATGAAGGAGGCAATTTGTTTTCTTTCGACGCTGCCATCGATGGGTGAGTGGAGCCACAGTTGTTGTGATGTCGGGAACTGTCAGTATTAATATAAGATTTGCTTTTTCTCACCGCCGGGGTTTTCATTATTTCATTAGGCCTACTGCAAGAGTCATCCTACGTAGCTCTTCTTCGTCGGCTTCATCGTAGTCGTTAAGGAAAATTATACCTCTGTGGCCTGTGACGTTGGCGATATGTTCTGAACTTACAATCTTTGCTTTCTTCAGCTTCCTGACTGTTGCTTTTCTTGCACGATGATTCGTAAACTTTTTTCTCACTTTCTTTAAGGCTAGTACCGGCTAAGAATTCTTTCATTATGTTAGTTATGGTATCTTCGCCCATTGGTTTAGTTTGGACCAGATGTTTAAATTTTCAGTTTCGTTTGCTACTGAGGTAGAAAAAAACAGACCATCGCATGGATGTTTTAATAGAGGTCTTCGCTCCACAAAAGACTCAAAGAGAGCAACCGGAAACTTTCTCCTCCAACAAATAACGTACGTGACTTGAAATCCCTGTTGTTATCATGCAAAACTTGTATCCTTGTTCATTTAAATGCCTGAAAAGTGTAGCTGTCATGGTTTGCGTTTGGTTGCAACCGTTTTTTCTTTATTTTCTTACTTTAGGCGTAGTCTGTTATAAGTAGCTTGTTTTTCAGTTTCTCTGGTTCATTTTCCTCGATTTTGTTGACAGTATTTTTCTCTTAGCAACGCATTTTCAATACATTTAGCCAGAACGACGTACTTTTTACTGTGTTCAGGTTTTTGGAATATTTTTTAACTTTTCTATTGTTGTTTTGCGTACGAAATTAAATCCCGTCGTCGTCTGCTGAAAACCATGGCCATTTTCTTGAATTTTGTTGTTAAAACTGCTATAATCTGATTGGTTCTTGGTGGTTTCTTTTGTGTTTTCAGCCAATCAGAAACCATTTGTAATTTGCACTCGTGTTACAAGTTTTGCACTCGTGTTACAGGGGAACTGCACTCCTTTCTCAGCCAATCGGAATTGAGTAATTTTTTCGTGTATATTATTAAGGTGGTAAATGACATTTTGTGGACATTCTAGCCAAGATGTTAACATTTAGCTGGATTATTGCACTCAGTTCTCTATTAAGTATGAGGGCCATGAGTAAAAAAGTTTTGACAAAAAATTTCTCCCACCAACTGTCCATTAGATTTGCGTTGAATTAATTGATACTGAAATAGATACAGGCAAATTGCTCCAAGTTACATATTAAGCCAAAATACATGTTCCCCAAAAAAGCTCTATAGAGACTGCACAGCTCACCTGCGATTTCCATAAGAGCTTTCTTACAAATCAAGTAGTTTTCTTCTTCTATAGTTATCCTCAATCTGACATGGTCCAATCCGAGCTTTCTCTTCAGTTCATCAGTCACCAAGCAACTTTCAGCGATATCATTAAGGCAACCCGATTGATAGTCATTCCATAGTCTCTCAAGACTCTCTAGAGTGGGGCACTCCACTGTTAATATCAAAGACCCCTTTTGCACAGACTTCACAGACACATTGTGAACCTCCACAAGATGGTCAAAAAAGGCACTTAAACCCTCACGTGTTAAAGGACTATGGTGGATCAAGTATTTGCTTGCGTGAACTTCTAAAATGTCATCCAAGTTTTCTTGTTGCTCATCGCTTAGATCTGGGGCACTGATTATAAGTTTAAGAACTTTAACAATGGCGCCTAGAAATTAAGAAAGGAACAGTGAGACGGAAGACTTTAGATAACAATTCGCAAAAATGTTGGAAATCGGCTACATTGCATAAAACGCATTTACTTGAATAAAAATATTTGTTAGTGCGTCTCAATGACGAGTTTGCTTTCGTCGGGGTTTTGCATGTTTGTCAGAAGTACGTTTCATCTCAGCTTTTTTTAAAAAACCTTACTTTTTTCCGAGAATCTACCTTTGAACACAATGATTTGAATGACGTGTTTTTCCTTTTTTTTCCCATCCGGCGACTGAAATATTTGACAATTATTGAATGAGCCTGAGTATGACATGAAGAATAATGCAGGTCGAGGAGATTGTTCGGCCTCGGCGGAAAACAGCCTCAGAGATCAGCATAAATCTTCACATTATACGAAAGCCGAATTTAATAATTGTGTTATTACTTCTTGATTAGAAATGTCTACATTTTAAGATGAAAATTAGCGATAGAAAGTCACGGCGTTTCGACGCCTCCGAGGTCATTCTCACGTGCGAGTAAAAAATAAAAAATCAGCATTAACATTACAAACGGTTTAAAAATGTTTTAAAAGGTAAGAATGCAATTAATATTAAGATGCGATGAATAATTTACGTAAACAATGAGTGATAAAATATTTATCAAATTGAAAAGAAATAATAATAAAGCTAATGAAAACCGATCCGATCTCTTCAATTCGCTGGTGAAGGTGTCGGCACGTGTAGCAGACATAACCAGTATTATACAGGTTACACTGAAAATGATACACATTGTTGATTAACAAGGGGTCGCTTGTGTTCCCTCACTTTGATTTTAACCTTGATCTTTCGATTTGTGTACACAGGGCTAATTGCATTTGGCGTGTTTTGTGCCCTCACCTTTACTGGGCTGATATCGAGTGTACATATTACAGACATTTAAGACGTGATATTCAATTAAAGGTGGCTTTGTGCTTTTTGCTCTTAGCCAGTTTACTCCACAATTCGTCTTTTTTTTCTCCTTTTTTTCAAAAATTTCCGGATACGTGTGGACGGGGCCTAAGTTCTTGCTGAGGTCTCTTTGACACACCTTTTTTCCTTCCATTTTCTTTTTTAAAGTTATGACTTACTCATGATGACCATTTTGTTTGCTTGTTTGTTTCCAGGCAAGTTCGCATGTTAAAATAAATTTTAATATAATAAATTGTTGTCATTCAAATTTTAGAATAGGTATATGAACCCTTTTCAACCCCATGGATTTGGTTCACACAAATATAAATGAAAAAATTGTCTTATCGATGACACGGAAACAAAGAAACTCGAAACTTAATTAAAAACTGCACAATTTCTCAAGTTTACGAGCTTTTTGAACATTTCAACTTTATTTGTATCCCCCATACACACCCTATTCCAAAGGTAATTCGTCTCGAGTTATTTTTAGAATTAGGATATAGTTACCTCGCGCGCTACGTGGATGTTTCGTGGAGGTTGCGCATAACTAAACGCCGTGCAAAACATGTCGGGCGAAAGGCAATGAAAGCGTAAAGAGATCGAGAGCATTTCTGAATATTGAAGCGAAATGAGTCGGCGCTCACCTGGGAAAAGGGAATCGCTGGACTCTTTGACAACCGTGAAATCAGTTTAACTCGAATTTGTCGTAACCTCAGTACTTTAATAAAATGAGAAATTTCGCCGGTCTATTGAAACCGGTCGTTTGTATAATAAAGCAAGTAGGACGACAAGTGTTATTTTTGTTCAATAATAAAAGACTAATAAAAGAATAAATATCAAACCAGAAATTGCTCTCATCAAACTGTAAATTAAAAATGATCCTGAGAGAATATTCAGTGTGTTAAGGATTTCCCTGCTGTACTGTTAGCTCTATACAAGAGAGAAAGGACGATTCTCTTTTAATTTCCGTTTCGCTGACCCAGCTTTAGCAGAAATCTCTCTTTAGTCGTTTTCGTCGACAAAACAAATAGCAATATCGCTCTCAGCGTCTTCCGCCATTTTTTCTACGTTAATTCGTCAAGGACGCGTGGCTCTGAGCGTAGGTCATCCACGCGGAACACATTCGCGCTATGTGATTGGCTGTTGTCTAATCCCCCTTGGGATCTATGGTGTTAAAAATAACTCGAGACGAATTACCTATGGAATAGGGTGTGTATGGGGGATGCCTTCTCTGTCCCCTTTATCCTCTCTTGTTTGTATATATGTACACGGCGACGCCTTCCATAGGTTAACTCACATGCTAATGACAAAAATGTAAACAATATTCGCAGATAGTCAGGGAGAAAACTAAGGCCTTGATAACCTGGTAATACCTGGTAGTCCGAAAAAAAAGAAAATGTCATTGATAAAAGATGAATCTTCATTGAGGAGACCAGAAATATCGCCAGAAAATTATTTTAGTCTTCGTCGTTTGAGTGAGTATAAGCCGGTCCCCAGATTTGCAGTTTTTCGCGAGCCCAAGGTAACATCTGGTATTAAAATCTGAGTACACAAGTACAGTGAGTGAAGGATTACACTGCTACACCTTAAACGGCAGCAAGTCCTGTAGACAAAACCACCATTAACTGTTCTAACAATCACCCCCCAAACACCCCCTAGATGCACTATTGGGCAATAGCAAGAAAAACAAATCAGGTTTTTGCTTACCTGGATCACAAGAAGATTCTGACATTTTACGCTTACGGCTATTTTGTGACTGAGACATTTTAACTGTGGATGTTTCAGTTTGGTTTCCTGATGCAGCATCAACTTTCTTTTCACAGTTTTTACCAAGGGACGTTTCTGAAACAAGCTGCTTGTCGTCATGATAGTTTGTTCTTGGGTTGTTGTCATTTTCCATAACAGGCTCTGAGTAAATAAACTTTGGTTACAATAATAATTTTTTAAAATTCAAACTAGTAGGTTCATATAATCAACAACAATTTCTTTGAAACTTAAGACCCAGTCAATTCAAGGTGTGCGGGCCATTCCTACCCGGGGTGGACATTTGTTATGCACGATATATCGGGTTGTGTATTCCTGGAAAAAAGGCTCAGCGGCCGGTATTTTAATTCCTACCCCGTCCCTAACTTTTTCTCGCTCTCGCGCGCCCCCCGCGCATCTCCCGCTTGGTTAAAAGCAGACAGAAATGACTGCTACGCATGCTGCATACGTAGTCCATAGACCATTCCGCTGAAAACAATATACCTAAAGAAATTAAAAACGTTACAGTTTTCCTGATATCAGCATTCAGATAGGTATTAGTGAGCATTTTTTCAAGTTTTAAAGACAAAACTTGAAAGGGGGTCACATTTTTGTATATTTTGTTTTTCTATCATTTCCTGATAATGTACCATTGAAGAAAAGATAATCGACATTCCTAGCATGAGCCAGGTTGATAATCCTGTCAACTAACTCCTTTGTCTGTTTGGCCCAGTTGTATTTCCTGACATAGGAATTACGCAAGGTCACCGCTTCCTCAAGTCGACATTCCCCGTCCTTGGACCAGATATTCTGGATGGCTAAGGTTGCGGGGTCCTTTGACTCAATCACAAATGCTGAACCAAAAGCTACACTACTCAGTGCTTCTCCAAAACCAGAGTTGAGACTGACGAGCACAGGGAGACCAGCTGACATTGCCTCGAGTCCTGATAAAACAAAGCCCTCTGTTCTTGAAGGCATGACTACAAGATCCACTTGTTGGAACAAGCGCTTTAAACCCTCTCGGTCTTGAACAAATACTTTTACTTTTAATCGACTTGCAGGAACACCACACATTTCTTCGTGTTCTCCATACGGTGCCCCAGCAAACGTAAAACTAATATCTTCTAACGCAGCAATTGCTTTCCCAGCGGTGTCAAATCCCTTTAATTCAAAATCTTCTGCGTCTCCGAAACACCAAGACTCTGCGTTGTTGCCTAAAGCTATGACTGACTTGCTTTACAGCCTCAAACTCTTCAAATACTTTAGGGGTGAGGTCAATTAAAGACATTACCATCATTATTTCATTATTACAACTAGAAAGATATGAGCGAAAGGTCTGGTTCAACTTGGGTCCGACTCCAACAACATGATCAGCAATTTCACACAGTCTTACTTTGGTGTTGCGCTTTTCTTCACCCTTTGAAATTGAGCTTTCAAACATCCCAAATTCCTCTGGGTATGTGTGTACCACTTGAACCCATTTGTACGTTTTACGGTCTTTAATGACTTGTGCTTGTTTACCGAGTTTAATCCTATGACCTACGATAACTTCGATTTGCAAATCTTTCGGCGGAAAGAAAAAACAATTCAGTTGTTCAAAGGCAGGCAGCAGAGGCGTCGCCTGCACGATCTTTGCTTTGTGTTCAAGGGCTATCTTTCTATCCTCTTGACTACATTTTGGTAAAAAGAAAGTGATTTTCACTTCAGGGAACTTGGCTAACTGAATGTCTAATTCTCTGTTTATGGTGGAAAGCCCCCCATTACTTGGTCCCCATTCAGATGCCAAAATAGTGACTTTCACTTTGCGAGATCCATGCACTCGGTCATAAGGACTTTTTACAGTCTTCGATTGATATTGTTAGTCTCATGTGGTCTGCAAATGAGTTCCAGAGCTTTTTAGCTTCGTACTTAATGGACTCGAGTCCATAAGTGGTTCTCCTAGGTTCAGGTAAGCTTAGTACATTATTCCCTCTTAAAATATAATAATACTTGGAGCTGTGAAGAGAGAACAGTTTCTCAAGACAATTAGGATACGCAGAGACAAATAATTAAGCTTTCAAACATTACAATAAGCATTTTGTGATTTCTTCCACTGTACAAAAATGTTGTCTTAGCCTTCTTTAGCAACTCGTCATAACTAGAATTTACATCATTAAATATAAATCTCAAAATGCGTTTATTCAAAAGCTCCAGTTTATCTTTGGGTGAAGAAACGGACGGTAAGTACTCCAAAAATCATTTGAGTTTGCTGTTTCCGATTTATCGAGAAAATACGCCATGACTGCCTTTCTTCTCAGTGAAGTACATTTATTCCTTTTTTCTTTGTAAAGGGCGTAATAAGCATCAGTGCGATCATGAGTGAACTTTTTCCACAGCTTGTTTCTATGCCGAATGGCTATGCGCCATTGTTCATTCATGAACGGTACTTGATTGCCTCTCACATGGAATTGCTTTAGAGGTGCGTGCTCATTTATAATATCTAAATAAAGCGATTCAAATGCAAATAATTTATCGTTTACATCATGGAAAAATTCCATTACATTGGAAGGAGCATTATGCAAATCTTGTAGGATAGCATCGCTGTCAAACTTTTACTCTTCTCTCGCAAATTTTTCAAGATCGAAATCTGGGTGCGAAGAGTTTTAAAATTCTGTATGCGAGGGAGTGATCACTGATTTAGACATCAACCACGCCCGATAATAGTATTCTTTTCTTTTTGTTTGTAAGAATGAGATCGAGATTGTTGATGTTTTTTCTGTCGTTCTAGTTGGTGATGTGATTAGGTTCTTTAGGTTATAAATGTCCAATAATTCACACCAATCCCGTCTTAACTGGAGGCTTGTTTGGATCCATCATATCACAGTTGAAATACTGTCATTTCAACCCTCCAAGTTGCGACCATTTTAGTCGCCATGGCGCCTAAAATTTTGGAACTGGCGACTTGATTTGGAGAATAGTCGCCAAGCTGGCGAATAGGTTCGTGTTATCGCGTATAGAAACAGAAATGGTAATCACTTCTACTGAAATATGAAGAACATTTATTCTAGCTGATTTGAATTCCATTACTTTTTTACTTTTCCGTTGAAAAACATGCTAAATTT